TTTAACCCCTTGTTAAAGCAATAATATCAGGATTTTAGGTGATTTTCAGAGCCAAATTACTCACTGATGCTGACGTCACAGCTCAATGATGTCATGCCTGCTAGTTAGGGGCGGGTCGGTTAAATGTCCTGATATATGGATCATGTTTGTATCCTAAACTGTTCTGAAGTTATGAAGGCTAGAAGTGACCCACGGTCTCTGGGTCCTAAGGGTTAATTTGAAACATATTAATGAATGAATGAATGAATGAATGGATGAATGGCTCCTGACTACTGGTGAAAACCTAGAATACTTGATTGACTAGCAATGTTGAACATTAGTAATGTTGAATACTATTCTTCTGCTAAGCCTCAGAGAACACAAAGACTGTACAGCCACATCTAGAACCACACACATTTGCCTCACAAGGGCCTAAAACTGCCAGCATTATAGTAGCAAACGTTATCATAGCTGCTCTTTGTCACCCATCATTTAAAGAATGGCTAAAGAACTGGTTGAAATTACCCTGTGGACTTTTCTTTTTTCATCACAGAGAGGACAATTTAAGAGAGGCATTATCTCCAGCCTTCAGCATGGTTCCACGCTCACTAAAGAAGAGTTTAATGCGTGAAGAAATGAGCTCGGAGGGAGCTGGAATTGAAAACGGCCCACTTGTGTGGTTTGGCGCTAAGAATGTCTGGTGCCCCCTTTGAAGGTTGTGTTCTGGCTGTAAAATTACTTTTTCTTTCATCCTCTCTGTCACCTTTTTCTCCTCGATGTGTCTCTCTCTTTCTCCATTTCACCACAGACAGATTAGCACGGCCCGGCAGCTCCGTCTGGTAGCCGAAAGTGTGAAAAAAACCGGCAAAACCGAGACTTTTTCCACCAATAAAGCGCCCGACTGGTGCTTCAATCTGGTCTTGCCGGCGCGCTCGAGATCATCCGCTTAGAAACATGGACCCCACCAGACTGCCAATTGGCAGGGCTTTAAAGAAGCCAATGAATGTCACTTTCGGTTTAATGCCCCGTGATAACCAGATCCGTGGCCATGCCAAGAGGTCAGACTACCGGTTCAAAGTACAGAGAGCCCCTCTCTTCGACTCCTTCAGATAGAAATGCATTAGCGCTATCTTAACCTCTTCATTCCAGCCATATAAACCCATAAGCACAGCATCCACTTTTTTGTGGTAGGCAATCCCTTTTGCGGATTAATAACCCCCCCAGACGTCTGGACTCATACCTACTCAATTTCATACCCTGGCCTTGACCCAGTGCCGACTGGACACTTATCTTTCCAGTTGGCACCAGGGCCGTTTTTTTCATTCGCTAAGACTACTGTGCTCCCAAGAGCCAAGATGGCGTCTGCAGGCTGCAGCTGCCCTCAGCAGAGGCCTCTTTAGTGTTAGTCCAGCTCACAGTAGGTGTGGAGATAGGAAGGCAGGAGCATGCTGTGGATCAGGTTAGGGTCCAGATGTAGCTTTGTCTCCATAAGGACTAACGGTTTCTGGACCCAAGGGATGAGCAAGGAACCCACAGTCTTCTCCAACATGAGCCTGACATGATAGTCAAAGGAGTTTCTTGTGCATACAACTGGTAAATGTAATGTTGCAGAGCTGAATGTAGCATCTATCCGGTCTGAACAATCAGAATGTAGGGGCCTGATCGATACATCAGTTTGCCGATAAAATCAGTCAATACTAATGACTTTTCAGATTTACTATTATTGTTGAAAATCCTACCAATAAAGCACCAATATTAAAAGCTACTTTAAAGTATAATAAACACAACCTCAATGTTGAGAAAAATTCTTCATTTGTAGTCATACCTTCTTACATCACTTTTAAAAAAGCAAGCATACATCAGTTGCTTAGTATACAGCAATACAGGATGAACTTATAAACTTGAACACAAAACACCATCATGGTTAAAGTAACAAAAGTATAAAATGCATCTAAATCTACCTTTTAAATAAAGATAACAAATCACAACAAACGAATGAAAATCTATTAAAAGAGCTGAAGAAAGTAAACAAAAACCAACAGAAACTAAATATGCTAAGAAGCTCCACCTCCACACAAAAACATCTATATTATTTAAGACTTCATGAGTTTCCAGTATTTATGTAATGTTACTGTGATTATATTTATACCATGTTAAATGATATTGGTTAACATTATCTGAATTTTTATCTTCTTAAAATCTGTGTTAGCATCACTATAATTTCTACATTAGTTGGGTCTTAATGTTTACCATCGTGCCAGGTACCAACAAAGAGCCACAAGGAGCATTTAAAGGCTAGTGCCGAACCCCCTAGCGCCACAAACAGTGGCAAAAACCTTGCAGCCAACTCAAAAGCACTGCTGAGATTTGTGGGCAACAGCGAGAGCGCAGTGCCACACCCATAGGCACCAACAGGAGTCACAGACAACAGCAAGAGATCCTCATCGTGCTGACAAATGCTGCTCTGGAGAGCAGTGAGAGTGCACTGAAATGCTCACAGCTGCCAAAGGAAGCCATGGACAACAGCACGAGAACAGTGCCATGATCACGAGCATTGAGCTGCAGAAAGTGGTGAAAACTAGATCCCAGCCAGCAAACGCATCCTGAATCTCGCCTCACGTTATGCAGCTGGGTCACTGAGCTATGCCAGGTGTTCAGTACTGGCAGCCACGCTGCGGAGCGAGGGAGGTGATGTAAAGGCGGAGCAACAAGTTATCTTTCTCCCTCACTGCTCAGGTGCTCATGCTGCTCCTCCTAATGGCTGATACCAATTGGTGGGAACAGCACAGTCTCCTTCAAAAGAAGCTTCACTTGATGCTACCAAGTTGCACTGTTATGAATAAAAGATTATAAATACTGTGCAGATACATTTTTCTTTTATGAAAGTACAAACAATGTAAATGTTCCCTCAATGGTGCAACAGTGGTTTTAAGGTCCGATTGTGTACCTTAGATATGTTTTTCCAGGTGAAAAGTTCGTATTTGTACCTTTTCATAACCGAATGTTTTAAAACAGAGCAATCAAATAAAAGCCTGGAGACGAGACGGGGTGTGTGGAGTCAGAACAGCTTAGAACATATCATTTCAGTGGATTATGGTTCAGTTATGTTCCCTGACTAAAGGTACTGAGATGGACCTTTGAGGGTCCCACCCCAGTGACAAGAGGGGCACTGACCCAGTGACAGTTTAGTACCTTTATTCTGAGAGTGTGGGAGGGTGAAGACTAGCATGAGGTCCCTCTATGACACGCGCAGCTTTGACATATCTTCTAAAACTACCACTAAATCAACGTTACTAGGCAGCTCAACACGCTTGGAGGAGAACACTAACTGCCAATTCTGTTAGGTCAGCTAACAGAGGCTTGCATCACACTGGGTGAAGGCCATCCTACCCTCTCAGACAGAAAGAGGCCATCACCAGGGATCTAACTTGGGATATCCCAATGCTTAGACTTAGAGGTGGTGCCATTCAGGAGCCCCATGGAGCCCTTCTTAATGTAACAGCAATTACCATCATTGGCTGGTGGTTAAACTCCTCAAGAGTTGGGCCAAGTATGTTAGTGTAAGGAATAAATCTGCAAGAGGGCTTCTAAGGTCTGGAGTAAAGAGCGTGCATGAGAGAGAAAGAGAGATAGAGAGTTGAAATTATTCTTTCATCTCCTCAAACACACTACGGTAAATTAGCTTTGCCTAACTGAACTCTCTTATGCTAGTAATTAGCCCTGTTAGCCCTGTTCTGGGGGCACAAAAGAAAGTTATGCAATCCATTTCTTATTCGCTCTTCAACATTAGGTGGTTAACTAAGCTGCTTTGTCTTGCCGTAGTCCCTCAGCATGACCTCCCTTTTAAAGTGAGGTCGGGAGGCTTTTTGTGGGTGTGCATGTATTTTGCTGTGTTAGCGCTTCCATTTCAAAGTGTTTCTGCGGTGTGCGGCGCCCCAGAGCTTCGTCTTAACACTCAAGAGGCTTTAAGAGAAACCGACTCACTACAGTATAACAGTGTGGTGCAGGTTTGTTAGGTTTGCTGAGATAGTCATCCTCAAAGCCTGAAAGCCTAGCCTCTCCTTCGAGGCTAATTATTAAAGCACCAGTGAATTTTGTGGCTTGAAGACTTTGGCTGTAACTTGTACTTTGGTGCTACTGAGTTACAAACAAATAGGATTGAGCAAATTCGGCTAGAAAACTAACCGTGCCAAATGAAAGAGAGAAAAATGAATACACACAATTTTAGTCCTCCAGAATGTCATTGATCATTTTTTAATTTTTATAAATATTAGTAAATCAGACAGTATCAGAAACCCAAAGAAGCCCATCACAACAAGGTAGAGGAGAACATTTTGCCCTTTTTTCTTCTCTGTTTCTGGCAAGCACTATTAGTATCTCAAAATAATGACTTCTTTTCCCAAAACAATGACTCATTTTCTTGAAATTCCTTTTTTCTTGAAATAATGACTCAGTATGTGAAAACAGTGACTTACTAGGTTGAAATAATGACTTATCTACTCAAAAATTTGACTTTGTTTCTTGAAGTAATGACATTTTCTCAAATTTTTTTCTCCAATGAAAAAATTACTTATTTCCTCAAAATTTGACTTACTATCTCGATATAATAACTTACTTTTTCAAATTTTTTTTAAGATAATTCTTATAAAATTCATACAAAAATAATTCTTGTCTCAAGATTTTGAGTTTACAAGATGAAATTGCGAAAAGCTACGTAATTATTGTCAAAATATTGTCAAAGGCCGTAAATGTAAATGTGTGACGATGTAGGCATGTAGTTTGCATGGTGCTAACTCATGGGATGAAAGCTTCATTACTTGTGAGCTACATTAATCTCCCTAGATTAAAGAAGCAAACTTCAGGGACCAAACATTTCTTGGCTGATTGACTACATTTGGGCTAAAGGTGGGAAATTATCTGAACTAGTTTTTTGGCAAACTATCACTTCAACTCTTCAATTCTGCTTCAAGCAAATGAAACAAAAAAAAAAGCGAGAACAAAAACTACAATCGCACACTTACCGGAGACTGTAACCTTAGCTGTGCGGCTGACGATTGCTCCAACGCCCTCCAGGGTGGCCAGGCACTGATAGGACCCCTCGTCAGGCCGGTGGTGCCGCGAGTGCACCACATTCTGCACCAGAAGCGAGCCGTTGGCCAGCTGCTGCCTGCGCTCATCCACCACTGAGCTCAGTAGGACGCCATCCTTTTTCCAGGAGATGATGGGGAGGCCCTGGTCTGACCGCGCCTGGCAGTCCAGCTGCAATACGCCCCCTCGAACTGTCACCACGTCCTGGGGCTCAAGCACAAAACGCAGCTCCACAAAGCCCCGCGGGGACTCAGAACCTGGTGACCAGAGAGAGAGGAGAGGGGGAGTAAGTGTGGGGGCATCTGGGAATTGCTTTAAAAAGACTTATGTTTTATATTTATTGTGTTTTATTTCTCCCTGATGTTTACTTTTCTGTGGGGTTTTGCACGAAAATAGTTCCACATGAACCTTACTATGGATAACATAGAAACAGCCTAACAACACCTTAGCAACCACCTGGGATACTGTTGCACTGGTCTAGCAACACCTTAGCAATTCCCTGGGATACTGTAGCACTAGTCTAGCAATACCTTAGGAACCACCTAGGATACTGTAGCACTGGTGTAGAAACACTTTAGCAACCACCTGGGATACTGTAGAAATAGTCTAGCAACACCTTTGCAGCTTCTCTTTATCTTTTAGAATTAAACAGACTGTTTCCTTTTATTCATGACATTACAACAATTTTGCATGTATAGAGGTCTATACTCCATCCATATACTGCTTATATGTTCATGGTATATCAAATTTAAAAACAATGGCAAGGAAAATTCAGGCTTCAATAATATTTAAATACATTGCTTAGTTGAACCTGGTAGGTCAGTGACACCCACCAGCACATTACACTGACCTGCGATGCACAAAGCACAATCTTTCCTTAATAGCCTTGTTGAACAATCAGACATGGTAGCAGGATTTGCATTCAGTTCTTCAAAACCCTTTTCACCTGAGACTCAGACAAGAAGCATTAGCCCGGTTCCGTCAGACACTTTAAAGATAAAAGACTTCGCTCAGGGCAAGGATTCCGATTAAACGGTGTTTAGCAGCTATACAAGTCAAATCAAAGCCGGCCGTCCATACACATGCTTCCCTACCTCAGGGCCACTGAACACTACAATGTAGGACTAAAGTCAGATGATTTCTCTGCTGGTTTTTGTTGCTTGTTTGAGAAAACTTCACATCTCAGCTTTCTAGGAGAAAGGAAAAAAGTCCTAAGCAGGGATGTGGAAGTGACGAGGGGGCTGCAGCACCCCCGGATTTTAGGAACAGCATAGGAAAAATCTTAGCAACCTGGGGATATGATAATCTGGGATATGACAGCAATGGCCTAGCAACATCTTAGCAACCACCCAGGATATGACAGCAACAGCCTAGTAACATCTTAGTAACCACCAGGGATATGACAGCAGCAACCTAGTGACATCTTAGTAACCACCTGGAACAGACAACAACAGCCTAGTAACATCTTAGCAACCACCTGGGACACGGCAGCAACAACCTAGGAACATCTTAGTAACCACCTGGAACAGACAACAACAGCCTAGTAACATCTTAGCAACCACCTGGGACATGACAGTACCAGCCTAGCAACATCTTAACAACCACCTGGGATATAACAGCAACAGCCTAGCAACATCTTAACAACCACCTGGGATACGACTGAAAAGGCCTAACAACATCTTAGCAATCACCTGGGATATGACAGCAACAGCCCAGCAACATCTTAACAATCACCTGGGATATGACAGCAGCAGCCTAGCAACATCTTAGCAATCCCCTGGGATATGACAGCAACAGCCCAGCAACATCTTAGCAATCACCTGGGATATGACAGCAACAGCCTAGCAACATCTTAGCAATCACCTGGGATATGACAGCAACAGCCTAGCAACATCTTAGCAATCACCTGGGATATGACACCAATGGCCTAACAATACATTAGTAACCACCCAGAATTCTGTAGTAACTGCTTTGTCTGGCCAACTTAAAGTTTGTTCACAACTGTTAACAAACTCTCAATTGTTATATCATCTGTGTGTTGATCTGACTGGTCGCCGCTAAACTTACGATGTGTCAGTTATGTGCATATTGTCGTCTTTAGATACACTTTAGCACGTTATGAAGCATCGTGTCTGATGTACATTATACAAAAATATAAATAAATAAAAAAAGAGACTGGCATATCATTTCATAGCATTATTATTCATTTTTAGTATTTCAGCACGCCCAGCATAAAGCACCTCCTCATGTTCTGCCCTTGACTTTCATGTATGTTAACGTCTAAAAAGTGTTTTCGGGCCATTTCTATTGGCTCATGAGGAAACGGTCACTGAGGGCAGCTTTCAAATTACGTAAAAGAAAAAAAAACAAAACATGTTGTCTTACAGCAGCTGAACGCTTGCATCCCACAGCCGTCATAACACCTGAGTGCATCCTTCGAGTTCCTCAATGCTAATGCGCTCTGGATTCGAGCATAACAAGAATGCTTGTGTTTGAAGTATCCCTGGAGTGGAACTGTGTTTGCTCCTCGAATACTCTCTCTCCCTCTTTGTTCCTAAATTTTGCTTTTGCATCATCCTCGGGTCTGTCTAGGCATGCACAAGCCTAACTGTTCATGATCAAACAACCAGTGGTTGGTGTGAATAAATAATCAGCTATTTGGCACCAACAGGCACAAAAGCTATCTTGGATCTTTGAATGCAATTCAGGGGTGCCAAGCCATGCTCCTCGATCTACCGCTCTGCATGGAGTTTACTTCCAAGCTCAAAACAACACATGGTTTAGCTAATCAAGGCCTCCAGGATAGTCTGAACATAAAGAGCCAGGACATAAAGAGCAGGTAGAGGGTACCTGGCTTGTTGCACTCTCGTTTCAATCTTTAAAGCCATCAGTCACATGACTTCAGATGTAGTTGGTCAGCCGAACCATGTCTGTTGTCTTAAGTTTACTTCTTTAGTTATACTACAGTTGGAACAGTAAGACTAGTGCTGCTAACAAGTAATGGAGTCTAACAGTCACCTGAACTTCCCTCAAACTGTGCTGTTAGGTTACTTTGTTAGCCCCCTTTTACCCTGTTCTTCAGTGGTCAGGACCCCCATGGACACAGAGCAGGTACTATTTGGGTGGTGGATCATTCTCAGCACTGCAGTAACACTGACGTGGTGGTGGTGTGTTAGTGTGTGTTGCACTGGTTTCAGTGGATCAGACACAGCAGTGCTGCTGGAGTTTTTAAACACCTCAGTGTCACTGCTGGACTGAGAATAGTCCACCAACCAAAAATATCCAGCCAACAGCGTCCTGTGGGCAGCGTCCTGTGACCAGTGATGAAGGACTAGAGGATGACCAACACAAACTGTGCAGCAGCAGATGAGCTATCGTCTCTGACTTTACATCTACAAGGTGGACTGACAAGGTAGGAGCGTCTAATAGAGTGGACAGTGAGTGGACACAGTGTTTAAAAACTCCAGCAGCACTGCTGTGTCTGATCCACTCAGACCAGCACAACACACACTAACACACCACCACCACGTTAGTATTACTGCAGTGCTGAGAAACTCTGCTTGCTATTTTCGAACATGCACAAACTGAGGAAATCGAAAGAAATCAGAGTAAGGGTACACGTGCTGAAAAACCCAATTACTGAGCTAAAATCCAGCTCTCTTTATCAGATTTCTTAATCTGATTTCTAGGCCTTAATCTGATCTAATAAATCAAAGTATGCTGTTAGTATGTACACAACCCTTCGAATAATCAGATAGATTCTGGAATCTGATTTAAATCAGATTATTAAGTGCATGTAAATGCACCACCCAATGACACTGCAGAACAGGGTCTAGATAACATTCCTCAGCTTGGCCTCTATCGTTTTCTCATTTTCTGGTCACATGGACGGCGGCGGCTCGGCAGAGTGCGTGCGGTGAAGTGAGAGTTGCGGAACGCGGCGGAAGGTGCCGATTCAAATGCTAATGCGCAGCTGGGGAATGCTGGGGAATTTCACCCGCTCCTTTTGTCTTAACCTGCTGTGTGGAGATATTTCATCGCTCCAGCGTGACAAAAGCTTTTTAGCGCTTTGCTCACGTTACAGAAGCGCTCCTGTGCTTCTGTGGCAGGAGACGAGAGAAGAAGGGGATGAATTTCACAACTTTACTGGTGTCACCCCGAAAACGACTCCCAGGAAGCCACTTTCAAACCGTCAAAAAAAAAAAAAAACACTGCCTTTATGTCTCTCCTCCATGGTGCCTCCCAACGGACGTCAGCTCCTGCTCTGCGGGACGGTGAGTTAAAATAGAAACCGTGTTTTAGACAAAAAGGGCCAAAGCGCCAGGAGGAAGAAGAGGAGGTTAGTGAAGAGAGAGAGAGAGAGAGGGGGGGGAGAGAGAGATAGAGACAGGGTGCCCGGCGTCCTTTCTTTGACATCGGGAAGCATAATTGAAAAAAACTGCCTCGCGGTTTCCCTCGGCGACGGGGCGGATTTTAAATGCGATTCGCTGACAGGGCGTCTGAGGCAGCATGGGAAACGAGCGAGCCGCTGACAAGCCGTCAGAGAGAGAGAGAGAGAGAAAGAGAGAGAGAGAGACTGTAGCAATTGTGCAATGAGACCATTTATCCAATTGACCTATTCATGCTCCACCCACAAATGTGCTTTTCATAGCTACTGTTGCACGTCCCACTTTATATTAAGTGTCTCTAATAACTGTGTAGTTACACATTAACGATACATGCAACAACAGCCTAACAACTGGTAATGTATTTGCTGATACAGACAGATTACAGTAGTATAACTTATTAAAATACACGTGTCAACTTCAGTTTTAACTTACTTAATTACACAAGTCTCTCTTTTCTCTTATGTCATTGCACTTGTGTAATAAGGTGGACCTATTTTTCCAGCAAGACCGTTCTGACTGTAATGGATGTGTAATTACCAACACTGAGTACTTGCAGTGAATCTGCACATTTAGTTGTAATAGCACTATATATACACCGGTCAGGCATGACATTATGACCACGTCCTTGTTTCTACGCTCATTGTCCATTTTATCAGCTCCACTTACTATATAGGTGCACTTTGTAGTTCTACAGTTACAGACTGTAGTCCATCTGTTTCTCTGATACTTTGTTAGCCCCCTTTTACCCTGTTCTTCAGTGGTCAGGACCCCCATGGACCCTCACAGAGCAGGTACTATTTGGGTGGTGGATCATTCTCAGCACTGCAATAACACTGACGTGGTGGTGGTGTGTTAGTGTGTGTTGCGCT